ATAATTGAAAACGTAAATGCGTAAAATAAATCTACTACTATTACAACAAGATTATGGGGATGGGAATACAATTTTTGAATGGGAATTATTTAACAAGAAATTAAAACCCTAATTTTACTATTACATCCAAATTGAATCAAATGGCATAAATGAATGATATTTAAATGAACAAATTAAATAAATATACCAAATATTATGAATATGCAAAAAGGTTTATGTTTATTTTTTATGTATGTAAAAAATATTTAATGCAAAAAAAAAGAAATAAAAAAAAAAGATTATTACTTTTTTATTAAGGGTAAACCCTAATTTTTCTGTAAGAAAATAAATATATTAATTATATTATCTATATACAATAAAATAAAATAATGTATACAAAAAATTAAATATATTTAGAAAAAAGTATTATTTTAAGTATAAATAATAACTATAAAAAGTATAATATTTCTATGTTTTTATTTTAAAGTATCTATTAAATAAAATAAAAAGTGTGTGTGTATATATATATATATATATATATATATATATATATATATATATATATATATATATATATATATATATATATATATATATATATATATATATATATATATATATATATATATATATATATATATATATATATATATATATATATATATATATATATATATATATATATATATATATATATATATATATATATATATATATATATATATATATATATATATATATATATATATATATATATATATATATATATATATATATATATATATATATATATATATATATATATATATATATATATATATATATATATATATATATATATATATATATATATATATATATATATATATATATATATATATATATATATATATATATATATATATATATATTAACTATGTAATAAAAATAAAATAAAATATATACAAAATAAAAATATATTTAGAACAATATTTTTTAGTGTGAATAAAATAAAGAATAAAATAAAAGTATAATTTATATATTATTTTTAAGTTTTTAATAAATAAAACATATACTAATTAAATTGTTTTTATATTAGAAAAAATAAAAATAAAATACAAAATAAATGTGAAAATCTATAAAAATATTTTTGAGTATTTTTTATATTTGGAAATAATAAAATAAAATCAGAAATGAAAATAAAATACAAAAATATAAAATATAAAGAAATTGGACCAGGGGGGTGCATTCAGCAAAAGGGGGTGTCAATAGTGAGCCAGGACCAAGCCCAGCCCACCACACTTCATCTTCAACCTCTGTTCTTCAAAAAAACGCGCGCGCCTGTACCAAACATGAACATCCTGCATACGAGCTCTATTGCAAAAACACATAACATCAAAGTTGTAGGGTTTTCCAAGACGAATCCAACCATATAAAAAACTTGTCCTAACTCTCAAAGATCAGAGAGAATTTCTCTGACCCTAAAATCTAGCCTAATTTTTTCAGGAAGTTCATGGATCAAATTCTCTTAGCATGCTTAATTAAAATGAAAACTGAGCATATGTACAGCTTCATGGCTATGAATACTACATTTCTTATTCACAAACCTAAGTCTAAATGTTCCTAAATAGAGAGATAGGAAATTGATAAAAATCTGTTTCAGCTGACTTCGTGTATGGCAATGTGGAGCTTTTCAACAAGGCCTGAGATGTCTGGGAGCTTGCTTGAACTTCACTTGACCTTCTCCAATGTCTAGCTTGCCTTGAATGTACTTGAACAAGCCTACAGAACTCAACCTGCACAAGCTCAAATCAAAAATGGCAAACCATGTTAATGGAGTTACAGTCAGTGTTTAAGGGTTGGGATAGTTTGGATATGTTGTATGAAAGGTGTTTGAACCAATTTGAGACAAAACGCACGAGAGATTTGAGTTGTGGCAATCAAACTGTAGGGAGTGCCCTGTTTTGCCAAATGAAGATGATTTTGTTCTATGGGAGGTTTGAGGGCTCAAAGGGTCGTGTTTCTGGCTCAAGGGGATGTGAGAAAGTTGTCTCAAAAGCTTGCACAAGTTGGTTTTGGCTGATGTTCAAGTTTTTTGTGTTTTGGACAAATTTCTTGGTTATGAAGCAAAGTATGAGAAGTGATGTGAAACAGGCCTGTACAGGCTATCCATCAGCTTGTACACTTTTCCCTTGGCCCCTCAAGTTTATGGATCTGATTTGCTGCACAAGATATGGCTCAATGCTCAAAGATTTAGTTTTGACATAAAGCAAACTTTGGCAAAAATGGAAATGTTGCTTTTTCTACTTAGGGATTAATCTTGTGTGCAATGCCCTAATGACCAAAACAATGCCTTAGAATAATGGATTTGCATTTAATTATTGAGTGTGAAGTGGTTTTGAGGCCTGTAATCTAGTGCAAAGCAAGCTGATTTGAATTTGCAACTTGTATCAATATGAACATGCCATGGATGAAAAGTGAGTTTTTGCCAACTTTCAAGCCTTCGATTCTCCCTAACAACAAATGAGTTTGGAGAGTTCTTAGACATTTTGGAAATCTTGCAACATGCTCTACATTCCATCTTTGAAATTCAATTTGAGATTCCAAGTGGAACTATGTGAAAAATGGTCATGAAGATAGGTCAAAATCCTGCCTAAACTATGGCAAAATTTCACTAAGTTAAAAGTTTCATGGACCCTTGTTCCAAAAATCATAACTTGAGATCCAAGCTTCTTTTGGGAAAACTTTGTGAATAAAAGTTGTAGATTTTGTGGAGGACTACAACTTTCATGTTGGAAGTTTTGTTTAAATCCAATTGCATCATGGTGAAAATGTTGGGCAAAGTTAGGGAAAATTAAGAAAATTTCATAACTTAGAAAAATTCTAAGTTATGAAAATTTTCAACTTTAAACCCTAATTTGCAAAAATGGGTTTCTTGATGAACAAGTTTCATGTTTTGACACATCTTGATGAAAAATGACCCTTGGCGCTTGATTTTGACCAAAAAGTCAAAGTTTGACTTTTCAGTGTACAGTCAAATTTTGATCAGTTGACTGAAAAATTCATTTGTCAATCCAATACATTTGAGATCTTTTGAGCTTTGTGAATAGGTCAAGATGATGCCATTGAGTCCTTGAATCCATGCTTGAGCCCAATTTTCCATTGGCTAGGTCAAAAATCAGATATTGCCCTTGTGTAGTCAAAACCCTAAAAATGACCATTTTGCCCTTTTGGTGATCTGATCAAATTTCTTGTGGAGTTGTGGTTCAAACTTGATCAAATGGTTCATATGAGTTCATAAGGTTGATGTGGGTCAAAAATCATGAGGTTTGACTGTAAATTGGCCACATTTGACTTTTCCCCCAATACAGCTGATTTCTAGGTCAACTGTCCAATTGACTGGACAAAAATTTGATTCAAGGCTTGAAACTTGGTATGGACAAACTTATGAGTCCAACATGAAGTATAAAAGTCACTTTGAGCATTAGAAGTCCAAAAATTCCTGTGCAAACTCAAACCCTAATTTAGGTCATCAGTGCAAGGAGATGTCTTGAGCAGAGTAAAACCCCAATCCTGTCTGGAGTTCAAGGAGCCTTGTGAGGGGAGATCTTGATAAAATGAGAGGGGAAATTTTGGGGTACAACAATAAGCAACTGAAAATTGAAGAAGCTGCTGCTGCATAAGTGGAGAAAAAGTTGAAAGCAATGAACATAGGTGTCATACCCCATATTTTATCCCTAATTTGTTCATTTGTAACATCATATGTATTTACATCATAAATCTTTCATTCATTTGAGATCTTAAAGCATGGGATCAAAAGGCTCTTGGCATTAGGGTTTTTCCTATGGATTGAGGTTGTTACCTTCCTCATGTTGATTCAACTGATTCTCTTATCACTCTAGGTATAAAATCAGGGTTTTGGATCTACAAGCATCATGGATATTTTCCTTGGAAAGATTCCTCAAGATACAAAGTTTTCTTCATCAAAATTTTCTTCAAAGAATAAGTGCATTAAGGTTTAACCTGTGTACTTAAGATTTCATCATGACTTCATTGAAATTTCTCTTGAGTTAGAGTTTTATTCCTCTCACCATCTCAAGCCTTCTTCATCCATATGCACTCAAGGTCCAAAGAATTAGGGTTTCTCCTATCTTGCTTGAGCATTGATAATGATTCTTGAACAAAGTTCATTATACTAGGGTTTACATCTTATCATGCTTGAGTTTGTAAACATTTCAGTTAAAATTCATTGGACTTCATACTTCAAGTCCTATCATTCATCTTTAAGTTGTTCCTCAAGGAATTAATTTTGTTTCAAGATTAATAGTCATCAAGCTAGAATGATGTGGATTAAATTGCGAAACATGAATCATGGCATAAGGTGTGAAGTTATGGATTCTTTGTGAGCAAAACATTCTTTCTATAGGAGTTATTTTGGTTAAGGATTGTTTGGATATATTTCTTGATTGAGATATGGACTAAGATCATTTGGAATAATTTCTCTCATTTCCAAGTTAATGCGGATATATGAACTCAAGTGAGGTTAAGGTTCACTTTTAGGCATACAAGATTGGAAGGATCGTTCATGGCTAATTTCTCGTGATTCAAATGACGAAGGCGTATACCATGATTGATTCAAGAGTGCAAAGCAAGGTTTAAATCAAAATTTCATAAATTCAAGATCAAGTTTAATGTTCAAATTAATTTATTTCAAATTTCATTCAAATACAAAATTCATCATTCTTAATCATAACTCAAGTGGGCAAAAAAAATCAAATTTCCAAGTTCAAGTTTCAATATTCACCATTCATTGATTTATTGCAAAAAATTAGGTTCACAAGTTACAAAGAGAAACTAAGGACCTAAAGTCTTCACGACCTTCACCAAAACCATGTCCAAGGAGTTTGCTTCATGATGCATCAAAAATCAATCCAAAAGTTGTCCAAACATGCCATCAAAATTTGTCAAAAATCTTACCAAGAGTTTGTCTAAACATGTTGCTAAAGCATTTCTTTTCAATAAGCAAAACCAGTTTCAAATGAATGGCACTACATTTAAGTTGCAACTTAAATAAACCCGTCGCCTGCAGGTTCAAAACAATTTCACAAATAATTGAAAGCATGTGGACCAAACCAGTTCCATTTCAGGCTACAAACCAGTTCGCAAAGCAATTCAACCCGCCCTGCATTTACATCAGAAAACCGGTGCAGATTTTAATAAAAAAAGAAGATGAAATTTGAAAGTAAAGAAGCCTTAGGAACCTTCTTTGATGGTTTGAGAAAATACGCACTTTACAACAAGCTTGAAGCGTGGGACTACAACGGTGTAGTGAAGTTGTGAGATGCTAATACAAGTCAAGAATTTTCTCATTTACAGAGAACATGAAAAGAGGGCTTAGTCTGATTACTCCTCTCTAGTATTCCCTATACAATTTGCTAGTGGAAGTGATGCACGCGAGTCAATCTAAAAATATAATTTCGAATAAAAATTCATAGTAGAAACACAAATTCGTAAAAATTAACTTCCAACTCAACAAATAACAGAACAAAACCAGTTAGGAAAATTGGAAAATAAATTTTTAGAAAGGAATCAAAAGCTTGCTCTAGAAGTTTCTGATATGGCCAGATTTTTCAAAATTCAGAAATACAAAATAACAAAAGTTTTGCAAGCTAAATTCAGATGCAATCCATCCATTCATTGATATAATAGAATTTCAAATTCAATGGTTCATATTGGCTTTACCTGTAACAAACTCTTGCAACTATAAATCAGGTGTTCATTCACAAATCTAGATCATGATTCATTTTTCTGCAAAAACTTCTCAGAGAAGCTTCAGAGTTCTCTCTAAAATTCTCTAAGGCTTCAAGGATTCGTTCTGAAAAATCACCAGAAATTTCACTCTTCTGAAATCTATGAGCCTTGATCACCATAACCTTCCTTTTTAGATCTTCTTCAACCTTCAATCACCAATCTCTTCTCCTCTAAGACTCCTTCTGCACCTTCTTTCAATCTTCATCCTCAACATCACCTTCATCTTTGAATTCCTATGGACTGCAAGCTTCACAGACTTTTCAATCTTTATCTTCACTTCTCATTAACGCAGATTCACCGTTCTTATTCTCATCTATTAATCATCAATAACCTTTCAAGAATAGCGCAACAACAACAAATCTCAGCAAAGTATTCGACGCACAAGAGATCGCATACGGAATGGAAGAAGAAGAACAAAAAGAGAAAAAGCAGATAGATTATTACCTCATCTCTGGTTTTATGAATATATTCGCTTCAAATCCAAGTTCTATATCTTTCCGCTACTTTGTGTAATTCGTATTTGTTTGAGTGTAGTGTTTTATTTTCTTCTGACATTCGTACTTGTGAATCCGGTGATCCAAACGTCAAAATCGGAGGTGAGTGCGATAGAGAATTGGATTGTGTAGGTTGATACGGAAGCAAAGCGAAGGCGAGAATGAGCGATGAGGTTGAATCGACGGTTAACGGAAACACGGCGGAGTGGAAGTGATAAAGCAGATGAAGATGACAAATCTGTGACTGAAGCGTTGAGGAGATGATGAACAGAACCGAATGCGAGTAAAGAGTGCGAGCAGGTTGATTCAAACGAAGAAGCATGGATCAGATAGAGAAGCTGGTGAAAAAGTGAGACGGAATCGAGAACAAAATCGAAGAATATGAGTGAATTAAGACGGAAAACAGAAGGAGGTCGATGGATGTTTTGTTGTGATGATGATTGGAAAGCGGAATGAAAGGATATGGCGGCCGGAAGGGAGCAAGTGGCGGCGGTTTGTCTGATCGGGGATGAAGGAGGGAGAAGCATCGTTCGTGACGCACATTTGGGAAAGAAGGAGATGAGTTCCTTCTGAAGTTCAATAGCCATAACTCCTCAACCCTAGCCCCTCTTCTCTCAATCGACAATGTTTTGTTTCTTTTCTTTTTTATTATTTTATTTAATAAAAAATTGAAATAAAAATAATGCTGAAATTTGGGAAAAACAAATTGGATTAAGGTTATGATTGTTTTTGTACCGAAATTTAAGTTCCTTGGCCCTCTTGTTGAATTTTTTATGCACAACAAGCCCATTCCTTCTTTTTGGTAACTGGTCTGCCTTGTGGACAAAAACAACCATCCTGGACCCAGACTTGGGCCTGGCGCCTGAGATTCTATAACACACCTCTGGGTTGTAATTTTATACCCCCCTCTATTTCTCATTCTTTTAATTTTTCTCTTCCATTTTAATTTTTTTAGTTCAATAAAAAGAGATATAAAAAATACTTTAGGCTTTTTAGAAGTATTTTAGGATTTAATTAGATTTTATTCCTATTATTTCTTCATGCTCTTAATCTCTTCCTAAATCAAGTTTAAACATTATGTTTTATGTGTTTTCTTTGTGTAATATTAATCAAATAAGATGCTTTAGTATTGAGGATTATCTTGCGTTGAAATGGTATGATTCTTTAGGATTCTATGAGACGATTAATCTTTCTTTTGATCTTCTTATGTTGATTAGACATTACGATGTTAATATAAGCATGATAACATTAGGATAGCTTTCCCTTTAGCTCAACCTTGGGACTATTTGAGATATTCTCCCAATAAAATACTCTAACTCATTCAAATCATTTCGTACTCTTTGTGCACTTTTCTCTTTAAATTTTTTTCTCAGATTAGACTCTTGTTGATTCTTGTAGTGATGCAAGCTGCTATACTTATACAATATGTAGTGAAGCGATTGACATTTTCCACTTGGATGTTGAGTGATGTCTTGTTGATTTTAATCCAATATCCTCCACTTTGAGATGATGCAAATGCTACTTCCTCATAATTGTGGGTAGTAAGTATGTTTTCCACTCGAATACAACAACATGTCTTTCATTAAAAAAAACTATCAACAAATAAAACCTTTTTCAGAAAGAACTGCGAGTGTTATGATTCCTCCTGGGATACGTAGGCACTAGGTTGAAGATCTGGATGAACGCAATAATAAAAAACTTTCTTTTTTCCAATTAATCCATTCATGGATTTTTAGAAAATAACTCTTTTTAATAGCCAAAATACACAAATTTTCAAAGAGGTTCATGCGGAGTACTGTAGATGTTTAGGGTGCTAATACCTTCCTTTTTCATAACCAACCCCCGTACCTAGATTCTCTCCCCTTCTGTTGTGGGTTTATTCGCACTTTTCCATTTCCTTTGGAAATAATAAAGCGTGGTGGCGAACTTTATTTGATATGTGCGAGTTAAGTCAATCCAATGACTTAGTCTTAACATTTCTACCGCTACAATGGGTACTCAAAATGTAGCTCAAGTTCAACGGATACAGAAGGATGCTTGTGAAATTTATAGTGGATTGTACCTTACTGTGCAATGTCTTGAAACTCAACAACAAATTGAGGGGATAAAATTCTTGAGGCAAAATAACCCATATTCTAACACCTATAATCCTGGGTGGAAGAGTCATCCTAACTTCTCCTGGAAAGATCAGCAGCAACAAGCTCCTCAAAAGGCAGAGTGGCAGGTGGCTATTGAAAAGATGGTTGCCCCTACCTCTCAATTTCAAGAAGAGACAAGGAATAATTACAGGAATACCACAGCTGCAATAAAAAATTTGGAAGTTCAAATGAGACATATTACACAACAGGTAGCGCTGCAAGCACAAGAAAGTCAGAAAAGTCATGAGCATGTGAATGCTGTCAAAACAAGAAGTGAGAAAGTTGATAGAGAAAAATAGGATGATGTGATGTTTGATGATAATATCATAGAAGTAAAGCTGTAAGTGAGAGAGAATAGGAACAAACGGGAAGAAGTCGTATCGCCTGTGAAGCCAGTTGAAGAGAAGACTAAACCAGTGATCAAGTTACTGTATCCATCTCGAGTGGTAAAGAAGGACACAAAAGAAAAATATTTTGAGAAATCTGTCAAAATTTTCAAAAAGCTGGAGATCTACATACCGTTCTTTGAAGCACTAGAGAAAAGACCATTGTACCAGAAATTCATGAAGGAGGTACTTTCAAAAAAGAGAACAACAGAAGATGGAAAGGTACCCATTGATGATAAATCGTGTACAATTACGCCCGAGAGAAAAATATTTGTCAAGCTGAAGGATTCAGGGTCAGTTGAAATACCATGCACCATAAAAGGTAGAGCTTTCAAGAGGGTTCTGGTTGATTCTGGCTCTAGTGTGAGTTTAATGCCATTATCGATTTTCAAGAAGCTCGATATTGAGAAGATAAGTGAGAGTGGGACAAAATTGAAAATTGTTAATCACATTATCAAGCAGACATATGGGATAGCTGAAGATATATTAGTGGAAATTGACAATTTTGTTTTCCCAGTTGATTTTCAGATCATGGACATACCTGAAGATGAAGAGACTCCTATCATTCTTGGTCGACCATTTATACTGACTAGCTGATACAATTTTTTTATCGAGATATATAATCTGACATTAAAATATTTTGATGAGGAGATAACTTTGAAGGTGTTGGAGATCAAAAAGTAGGGTGCAGGTGAAAATAATCAAGCTTCAATTGGTATGATTAAATTAGCAGGAGACAACAGCAATTTAAAATAACCCCCAGAAAAGTCTTCGGCATAAGCTCTCATATGGAATAAACAAAAACTTCTAAGTTCAATTCAGAAGTCAAGAAGAGAAATAAAAGGAAACCCAAAGGTGAGAAGACAGAAGTTAGAAGGGACTGGAAGTACAAAGTGGTTAATTATTTTGATTTAGATGAGTTTTGGGTTGCGGAAAGGACAAGCAACAAGGTGTGGAAGAGGAAGTATCCCCCATAAGGGGAAGAACCATTGAGCCACGCGACGTTAAATGAAGCGCTTCGTGAGAGGAAACCCACACTTTTGAATAACTTCGTTTTTCTATTTGTTTTGTTTGCAAGTAATAAAAGGGAGTCTTACTAGTGTAAGCTAGGAGACAACAACTCGTGTTATATTTCCCTCTGTGAGTCACCTTCCTCACGTTTGTTCTGAAACATGAGGATTAATGTTTAGTTTAAGTTTGGGGGGTTTTTATTGCTTTTCTTCTTTTCGAATTATTTGTTAATTTTATGCGAATTGTTGTGTAAATCCATGAGTTGAAGTCCTCCAAAGTTGGATGAAATTTTTTGTTTTAATCAAGAACTTGGTTCTCATAGATTTCGGGAATAGTATATAGAGACAAAGGGATGGTTGTTCGAGGGTAGGAAGTTTGAAATAATATGACAGTGATACGAGTATAATGTGTAGATTTGTACCATAGTGATTGAATCCTGAGAAGTACTCCTTAAGTAGTTTATCTTCACAGTCTGCCATAACATAGATTCACATGCATGTATGATTGATGTAGATATAAATAAATTTGGCACCAAATGATGAAAAAGAGGTAAAAGGCAATTGGCTCGCTAAGTTGGGTAGCCCTCATCCGGTTATTCAGCCCAAAGGGGGTTGATCCCCAAATGTCATCCAAAAGGACAATATATAACTACAAAGTTTGAAAATTTCATCAGTAATTAAAAGTAGCCAGTGCTGCTATTTGGTGCCTAAGCAAAAAGTCTTGATTAGTCTTGTGCATGTGATGATCATCGTAATTCTCATTGCCTTAATTTGACTGTTTGAATGAAAAAGGGGGAAATCGGAAAGAGACTTAAGTACAAAGTGTTGTACCCCAAAATTTTCCCTCTCACTTATCAAAAAATTTCTTACAAGGATCTCTCTTGGTTCAAGGTTGCACTAAGGTTGATCAGCTCAAGACACCTTCTTAAGCATTGATGGCCAAAATTAGGATTTGAGATTGCACAAGTATAATTGAACTCTCAATGCTTCATATGACTTTCATGGATCATTATGGACCCCCCAAGATTACTCATGTCAAGTTTCAAGCCTTGGATCATACTTGTGCTCAGTCAATTGAGCAATTGACCTAAAAATCAACTGTATTAGGGAAAAAGTCAACTTTAGCCAGTTTACAGTCAAACTTCATACTTTTTTATCCACGTCAACATTATAAACTCATATGTATCATTTGATCAAGTTTGGACCATAATTCCTCAAGAAATTTGATCAAATCATCAAAAGGGGAAAATGGTCAAAATTAGGGTTTTGACTAAGAAATAGTAATTTCTGATTTTTGACCTAGAAAATGGTCAATTGGTTTGAAGAATGATTTAAAGAGTTCAATTGCATCATTTTGACCTAATGTAATGACCTAAAACTTTGTTCAAGATCAATTGGATTGATAGTGAATTTTCGGTCAACTGATCAAAAGTCAATTGTACACTGAAAAGTCAAACTTTGACTTTTTGGTCAAAATCCAATGTCGAAGATCACAATTCATCAAAACATGTCAAAATATGAAACTTATTCATCAAGAAATCAAAAATTCAAGATTTCATTTTGAAAAGTCATAGTTTTCTAACTTATAAATTTTTCTAAGTGTTTAAAAACTTCATGTTTTTTCATAACTTTGAGCCAATTTTTCACCATGATGCAAGAGGATTCAGAAGAAACTTTCAACATGAAATTTTTATATCTCCATGATATCTACAACATTTTTTCACACAACTTCATCTAAAAATGCTTGTATCTCAAGTTATTAATTCACAAAGTCATGGTCTTGAAATTGAACACTTAGTGAAATTTTGCCCTAGTTTTGGTCAGGATTTTGACCTAACTAAATGGCACTTTTTCATATAGTTCCAAGGTGAATTTTCAAAAGTGATTCAAAGAGGGGTTGTAGAGAACATTTCAAGATTTCCAAAATGTCCAAGAACTCCTTGAGATCATTCTTGAGCATGGATAATCGAAGAGAGGAAGTTAGGGTTTTCAAACTTAAATTACAAGTCATTTTGTGATGAACAAGAATTCAATTTCAAACCTATGATGCACA